TGAAGAGGGATTGATCAGGAACAGTTTACACGTCCACAGGGAATGAATCCGGGATTTGTTTCTAGCTACAGAATAAAAAGTGGGACATATACTGAACTATGGGATTGTGATTCCATGGTTTTCCAATGGAATTTAGTCCTTGTGGTAAAAGTTTGTTGTGGTAGAATTATTACCTTTTTAATTCACTACTCTCTGTTCCTGATTACACGCATTTTTTACTGAGCTCTTCAAGTTACTTTTTTTTTTTACTGAGCTCTTCAGGCATTCCCAGGGTATTCCATTTTCCAAAGTTGCCATACCAAATTTTCCATTCTGGTGTAGCAACCACAAACTTTGGCATGAGTGACATGCTCAGCAAGTTATTGTATTTGGATGTGCAGCAAAATATAGAATCCTAGGACTATAGTACAATAGGGCTGGAAGGGACCTTCAGAGGTCATCTGGTATAACCTCTTGTTTGATGCAGAATCACACACTCCTATCCAAACCATCTTATACAAATCCATTGTCTAAGCTGTTAGCAAAACTACAGTCAACCCTGACACAACCACAAGACATAATACCCTCACCTGTCACACATAAAGCAGGGGGGCAACAGCAACCAATGTTGGAACGGTTGTTTAAAATACACTGAAGAGGTCCAAGGAAGAGGGCCATGCTCCACACTGCAGAGGAGGGCAAGAATCATCACAGTCTGTACTAATCTCACCATGGGGTAAAATTCCTTCCTGCCCTGAAATATGGCAGTCAGTCCCACCCTGAGTGGAGGGGTCAGACCTTCTAGTCTGAAACCTCTGGGTTTAAAGTCCCAGCAGGAGCATCGGCACACCACAGTCAAAATTGCCAGCCTTGGCTGCAGCCAACGCCCAATATTTCTGAGCAGGGCAACCCTTCCCCTCCCCCGCCCCCACCTGATGCATGTAGCTGCAGAAGAGGAAAATAAGTCCTTCCTGGCCCCATGTGGCAATCAGCAAAACCCAGAAGCATGGGAAGTACCTATAAGAGAGTATAGACAGAGCACTCTTATATAATCCTATAACCTCCAGAAAGTGGATGTTGCATCCAAAAACACGTAGGAAAAAATTCTGCTTTGTGACTAGGAAGGTTTCTGAACCAGTCTGAGTGCATTGTGTAGTGGAACAAAATACTGACATCTAGTATGCTGGCCCAGCATTCCCTCCATTATCAAGGACTTTTGCTGTGCTCTACTGCATGGGAGAAGGGGTTGGTTACAGGCTTCTTGCAGATCAGAGGAAGAGTGGATTGGTGCATCTATAACTGTGTCAATCAGATGGCTCTTCCCCCACTGGAAAGGGTGTACAGGAGCTCTACAGGCTATTCCAACCCTAAGGCTTTAGGGAAAGCAACTTGGGTATTTTGCTCTACCTCAAGCCTGTGTGGAGTTTTGCAGCATGTGTCCATTTCTTGTGCACAGAAATTGGGATTTGCCTCTGTTGCACTAAAATATTTTTAATCTTGTAAAAAGGTAACATTATAATGATATTTAATTACCTGTAAAAGTGTTATTAAACAGGCAGAGTTACATTTGAAGCAGTCAACTTGTAGTTCTGGCAGCAACTTGATATAGTAGTATTTTGTTTTAAAGCAGGTGGTGGAAAGAGACAAGCCCTCCACCTGCATCCACCATCACCACTGCATCCTTTGTTAACTTAGATATCATAGGCTAAAATTCTAGGGACTGTGTGAGAAGATCTCCCAGCCATACAATTCCCTGCATGCCTAAAGAAAAGGTTTTGATTTATGCACCTGGGCGTGGAAGGCCATTTTGGAAGTTTCACTAGCGGTTGTTGTTGAGGCTGGAGTCAAGGCCACTCATTCCCTTTTGCACAACGTTGACTCTTGTTTTAACATTGACTATTAGAATTCTGGATGTTCTCATTTTGTGAATAAATGCCTATTTTTGACACCTGTTTATGGTGCAGGGATATCCTGTGGTGATGCATTGCAAAGGCTGTATAATAATTGTATATATTATTGTATAATAATTCCTTTTATAAGCTCTGAATTTACCACTTTTCAATTTCATTCCAATTCCCTTTGTTCTTGTAAGACGAGACAGGGTGAATAGTTCCTGATCTACCTTTTCTCTACTGTTCATTATTTTGTATACTTTGATCATATCCCTGCTTATTCATCTTCCTCAAGTAAACATTCCCAATCTTTTAAATCTCTCTCATCATTCTCACAGTCATGTCTGAACCCCTTTCTGATGTACCTTTTTGAACTGGAGTTACCACAACCACAATATGTTGACTGCACGTGGTGAAATCCTGGCCTTACTGAAGACAGTGGGAGTTCTTTGACTTCAGTAGGGACTGATTTCACCACATGGCATAATGTTTCTCCATATTATTCTCCAACCTATTCCTTATAAACTCAACTTGGAAATTGGGCAGTTTAGAATTTAATCTAGAAAACCACTGGCTCAGCACTCTCCCTTAAATTGCTGGTAATCCTCAGATTAGCAGTGTGGCTTCATGGGCAGAATTAATTTGCTCCCAAATCATTCTGATGATAACAAGGGTCAGATTTTTCCTGGTTTCCATTTGTTTAGTCCCACTGTTGCTATTAGGTTTGAACAGATAAAATAGAAGGTAGAATATTGCATGAGACTTTGAGACAATGTATCTAAATTCACAGGTGACCTTTTACTGAAAAATCAACTAAGAAATTCCTTATGTAGTAGATGAAAATCAAAATTGCAGCTAGTAAAATTATCAGTATGCAATGTACAATAAGGATTGCATATGGGAGATTTTATAAAATTAATTAAAAAAACTGTACTTCTCGGTTTCCTCCCCAAAACCATCTAAAAAGGGTTCAGATTCCTGCCAGCTAATAAATGCAGTAAATGAAATGTTAATAAGTCACCAGCAATTTAGCCTGACAATAACATGGATTGACCACATTGATTACATTGATTATATTTCATATATTTACAATATGTAGACACAAGCCCAATTTATTTTCTGAAGAGTTCAAGGTAGGTATCATTGGTTTAAAAAAAAACAATGGAGTAATGTTTGTGGTTGCTATCTGCAATAATCTAATGCTGACAGAGAGCAGTATTTTATTTAGTAATTAACAGTGTAAAGGGGAGAGAAGCTGTCATGTTGGTTCTTAAGCTGGGGAATGTGATGAAAGATGATATCTGCGATCTCATCCTTTCCACTTGTTTAGGATTGTCAGGATGAGAAATGTCAGCATTATGAAAGCTCAGCTCTGCTCTTGATATGATAAAACCCTTCAAAAGCCAGTCTTTCTCTCCCTCTCCCCCCCTCCTTTCTTCCTCTCCCTGCACTTGCTTTTTTATTTATCCTGTTTTGTTAGATGGCAGAAATATAATTCTTTTCTTTCTTCCTATTATAAGCCACCATTTTTGTTTTATTATATGTTTCACAACCCCTAATGCCCCACTGAAAATTACCTTGTTAAATGACAGTGTTTCAAAGCCATGAATCCTTTCCACCATTCCCTCAGAGGTTTGAAACAGTCAACAGACTGTAAAGAATAAATAATAAAAAAGTATTGATTATTTTGATGACTGTGAGATTCAATTAAGTATTAATTTTGCCCTCCAGTGGACCTATCAAGGTATTCAAAAGGGAGGATTCGGCTCAGCTAAATGCGTGCTGAGTGCTTCAGCCTTAAATAGGGAGAAAATGTGTTTACCTACAGTATTTGAAGAGGAGTGCATTGATGCACAGAGTCCAATATTTAAGTGCTGTGCAAATTAAGCCCTGGTGACAGTGACATTGTTTTCAGCGATATGAGTATTGACTAAAGAAGTGCATTTGATGACAGCTTAAACTATTTGTATTGATTAACATTTTCATAGATTATCATGTGTCATATCAAATTCACTTTTCAGACATGAATACATTAAAAAACCCATAGGCAAACATCGACCAATGTGATGATGGGACAGAGGGAACATGCTAACCAACCTACTTGCACGCTGGTCACCTGTTCTCCGCATAAGAACCATTTAGGCATGAACTTTGCAATAAATAGCTGCCAGATAGCACAACAAGGTCACTTGTTTCATTTCTTTTTTTTGTTTTTGATGCTGGTTTCCAAGCTGTAATGATATTATGCATCTTAGTTTGCAAACGGAATAACAGAGTGTACTTGGAAATCATGCCTGACCCCAAAATGCCCTCTGAATGAGCTGAAGATAAAACAGATCCAAATCATCAGGAAACAATTTTAAAATAAATGTAGCATTATTGGGACTACTGTGTTCCCAAATACAAGAATAATTGCAAACCTGGTGTGTAAGTATTTTCACTAATTTTTATCTTTAAAAAATTGGTTTCTATATATTTTCCTCTTTAAAAAAGAAAAAAAAAAGGAAAGGGAAATGTTTGTGGACTTTTGGAGCATAGCATCCCAAAGGCAAGAATAGTTAGAATAAATATGTGTCTTTATTGAATGTGTATGATGAAATGACTATTTGTTGCTCTGTATTTTCCCTAAACCACTTGAATTCTAAGCGGGGTTTTGTGTGTGTGTATGATTTGGTTAATGTTATACAGCATAGGATGCTTCTTTAAATCATTATGGAGCATTCACAGGGGGTTACTCTTCTGTGGTGTCGGAGCATTCTTGCAGCAGTTTGGGTTTTTTTTTCCCTTACCACGTTAAGGGAAAAGTGAGGTGTAAAAACATACACACGAAAAGCACATCCCACAATTAAAGCTGTGTTGGTTATGTTGCTTTCATAGAAGTTTTTCTCCAAAGCATCCTGAATCTCTCACATGCTAGTTGAGCTTTAATAGGGTGGGGAGTAATGGAAAACTCATTGGATCTGTAATAGCTCTTCACTTGACTGCAGCCAGCAATAACAGCAGGAGCAGCCAGAGATAAGAGAGAGTGTGTGTGTGTGAGAGAGAGAGAGGGAGTGGGAGAGAGTATACGCACACCAAAGCTGCCACTTTTTTTTTTCCCTCACTCTTTTTTCCCCCCATCCTAGGATCCAATGATAGCTGGACAAGTCAGTAAGCCCTTGCTGTCACTGCGGAGTGAAATGAATGCAGAGTTGAAAAGTGAGGACAAGGCAGCTACTTCAGACAACGAGCTGAATGAGCCCCTGCTTGCGCCTGTGGAATCAAATGACAGCGAGGACACTCCCAGCAAGCTCTTCGGTAAGTCTGTCTAGGTATTTCATTTCACTGCTACCATGTTGTCCGGAAGAGCAATCTCCCTCTTTTTGTTCACTCAATTTTCCTGTAAGCACCAGGGAGTCACTTGGAGTCTGCAGGCATACAGCCATATGCTCTGATTTTGACTGGGTACCAGAATACCCAGAGTGTCACCTCCTGAAAACTTTGGTCAACAATGAACTTATTTTATGCGCATTGGCAGACAGCGTCTATTTTCTTTCGTTGAACTGTCTCTGATTTAAATATAGAAGAGAGAGCTTCCTTTGTTGAAACATCTTACTAACAACATCTATTGCCTAAACATCAGCTCCAGTTGTTCACAGTCCCTTCGGAGGGAAAAGTAAACTGAAGAGTTACCATTTCTTGGAGTAAAGAAAAAGCTAGGAGAAGAAAACTGGAAAATAGCTAGAGAAAACACTCTGTGCTGAATAAACAAGCACTGCCAGGGCGATTGCCTACAGGTGTATTTTTTTTTTACAATTTATATTAGGAATTAAATTTTTCTGCTGAAGCATACGGCGGGGGAGAAAATACACTTTTTTTTTCTTTTTTACACTGTAACTTATGCCAAATGAAAATGTTACCTTTCAGGGATATTTGTTTCATAACCAAAACAAGAGCAGTAAGAGTGGCACTCCAGCATAGACATCTGTCATTCAAAGGGATGACACCCTGTAAGCCAACTCAAGCAACTGTGATCTCTAATCAGAAAAGGGAGCCGAGTTGTTGAGGCGCGTGCTTGAGTGATAGATGTTGATAGATGTCTGTGCTGGAGCAGCACTATATGGTATATAGTGACATTTTGGTTGTACAGCAATTTCTCCTGAAAGAGTTCCTTTTAATTATTTCCATTTGTGACTTTATGAAACCTTGGAGGGAATGGAGCTCATCCTTATTTTACACAGTCTTATAGCCAGAACTTTAAGGGCACAAGATCTTGTTTAAAGAGAATGCAGCTTTAAGAGAGAGACAGAGAGAAATCACATTTTCTGAGATTCAAGTTTTAATTTTGTAACCTATAAAGAATCTGTAGCACTGTTAACATGTCTGAACCCCAGCTAGAGGAAACAACTGCTAAATGATTCTTGCAAAAAATAGATGTAATTTTCTTTAAAAGGGATACCTTTTGCATATTATACAGAATGTTTTATTAAGTAACTTCAGCAGAGAAAGGAAATAAAAAAGCTAAGACTTAATTCCTAGAATACTTCAATGTCCATTGTAAAATATCACATCCATTTTTTTTAGGAATCCTATAATAATCTTGGTTTCCATGGAAAATAGGATTTCCATTAGCTATTCAAATGTTTGAATTGTGATGTCTAAAATTCAAAGGGCTAATATTTGTGTGTGGAAGTATGAATATCTTAACAAATATTCATGTACTGTATTTGATCAGATATTTAGGGAGCAAGGCATTAACGTTAAACATAGCCAGGTCTGGCAGCATTACAAACACATTTAACTAGAGAGTATCAAAATGTCTGTATATTCTGGTTTTAGTTAGTTTTAGATCTGGCAACTTTTATAACAAAGGGGAAGATGTTCCTGAGTCATTGTCGTTTTGAATGTTTTAATACCATTGTAGACTGCCGGGATACTTTTTATTATAGTTAGTGTGTAGGATAAAAAATAATATACTGTAATATTTTTTTTTTACTTTGGAATGGAAATAGAAGTTAGCTCAGCTACACAAATTAATGAAGAAAAGTAAATAAAAGTACTATGCATAACTATATTTGTGAGTTTAGATTGTTTGCTAAACTGTTTTTATACTGCTATCAAGTTGCTGCCAAAGCAAACCAAAGTAGGTGAAAACAGTTTAGCTACCTTAGTATAACCTATTTAGTATTTATCTATGTTTTATTTCATTTATGATAGATGGTAAAGGCCTTTTAAGCAATAACCTGTACCAGTTTATTTCTGTAACTGGGAACATGGAAGAAAAGACAATGAGAGGTTATTTTGCTACATGCAAAAATAAAACTCGGTGAATTTATATAAAATATAGGCATTTTCTATTTATTGAGCCAATGCAACACTTCTAATTTAATAAGCAATTCAGTAAGTAATTGACACCTCAAATGCAGTTCTTTATAGTACTTTATAGTAGTCTCTCTGTTTAGAAATGTGAATGGCATGTTAGGAATGTGTTATTTGGGCCTTACTTTCCTGTCTCTTAAATTGTAGTGCCAGTGTACTGTGCATAAATTGATGCAGAAATTAACATTTCTCTTATCACTTTGTTTCATACAACATGAAATAAGAATTCTGTGTTTCCTGTCCCTTGGTTGATGTACCCTATATGCAAATTGCTAGCTACGTTCAGCAGAGAAAGGGAGGAGCATTTTAACAAACTAAGGGGAGGAGACTGGTGTGTAGATGAAAGTTAAACAGATTGCTTTCTTCAAATTTGGGGGGGAAATGGTCTTTGCAAGTTGGAATGACCAGCATTTGAGCACCCCACTTAGCAACATTTCACAGGTTGTGCTGTCATACAGATGCACTGGGTTTTTTTACAGTACTTTGCAGTGGGCAAAATAACCCTTTCCCCTCAGGTGCAGGCCTTTACATTCTACTTAATTTTCTTTTAAGAGACGTGTTTGTTGAAGTGACCTGTGTCCTTCACAAATGTTGCATAAATTCTACCCCTCGTTTTCTACAATGTGCCAGTATATACTGATGGACTAAAAGGTATGAAATGCTTATGGCCTATACACACTGCTCACCTTCCTCACTGTAGTATCCTTACATAAAGTATGCTGTAGGAACAACAGCTACGCATATCTTGCAGTGATAGCTACTAGTAAAATGTTTCTTTTCTCCAATCGCAACACTAGTTTCAGATGACAGTGATGCAGTATAAAGCTTAACTAGGTTGTTTTTGATTTGGGAAGGTGCACAGCAAATTTCCGGCCTATCTCCCAATTGTATGCTCTGCTGCTAGTAGGAGAGATGAAGGCTGAAGCTTCTCAGCCATCAGGAGTGTCACCTGGTGCAATGATAGCTTGCCCACAAGTCTTGAATAATTTCACCCTGGAACTCGGATTCTAGGTCCTTAGTGGATGTAAATGCTCATTTACACCAGGTGAGAAAGTGCCCCTCTGTTTTTTTGGCAAAGTGGTCTTTTAAAGTAGTCACCATTGTACACATGACTAGCACTATCGCTACTTTTTGTTCGAAAAATAAAATGTCTTTTAAACTTTGTGTGTGAACTGGACCTTGTGCACTTAGTTGCTAATGAACCTTTGACCTCTATAAGGAATATTTGCTAGTAAAGTGTTCAAATCCTGCTAAATATCAGTGGGAAAAGAAACAGAATGTAAAATTCCAGGAAAAGGACTGTTGTAAGTTAGTCTGTCAAAGGCAAGGTTTTGCTCAACCTGGAGAGTTAGAAAAGCTACAAAACATTTATGAAAGAGAAACTGAGATTTCATTAAGTAACACAGTAGTTTTGTGTGATATTGACTGTTGCATTATTTATCTTTACAGAACTTATCTCTTATTTCAGACGTGGCTGAATTATGCTAAGAGTCAGTTAGAAGAGTAGGAATTGGAGTAAAGCATTGGATTGGTTGGCAGTGGTACTCTCAGATTAACTAGTTTTATGTTACACTACTGTGCTTCAAATTAATTCTACAGCCTTTACTAAAGAAAGCTCCCACTGATGGAAATGAGAGCTCTGCCTAAGACTGAATAAACACTGCAGGATTGGATTCTAAGTTAATTACTCTTACAAGGGTTTTTATTCACTATCTTGATATGTTCTCCAAATTTGTTTAAAGTTTCCTTCTAATGGCAGCCTGATGAAAGGAAAGTGTGTTTAATGATTTATATTATCACTATAAACTTTTGGTCATTGATACAGAGACATTGCATATATTTTATTTAAAATCTGTACGACGTAAATCCCATATTAGGGCCCAATCCAAGTTCCACTAAAGTCCTTGGCAAAATGGCTGTTAGCTGTCATAGAATTAGATTATTAATTTCTGTGTAACTATAATGGTCATGGTACTATACCCAAGATACCTGTGCACATTAAGATCACTTTACTCTGCTATTAAAAAAAACGGTACTGACAGGGCATGATCCTACATTTCTACACATCCCAAACTGAAAAGATAGTTTTTGGTATGCAGGGGTGCAAAACTGAGCCTGTAGAGTATAATTATTTAGTGTCAGGGTTTCTTAATTTTATGGTAGTTAGGGATTAGAAGATAACTTCTTCTACAGGTAGCAGGTTGGGTGTGTGCATTTGTGTGTGTATGTGCACATGTAGATACAAATATGTGTGCATGTGTGTGTATGTATGTGCACACATATATACAAATACATGTGTGTAAGAAAGAGATTTGCCATCTAAAATACTGAAATTTGATTTTAGTATTTTGCCTGCCTTTGTAGTATCCTTATGCAAAATTTAGAATTTTATCCATTTTTCCTTGTAAGTATGAATCTCTGTGAAACAGGATGTGCACGAACCAAGGCATAGATCAGTAATATTTTGTAGAAAAATGTTTGCCTTCTTGGCACCCTTTTTGAAGTAAATGCTCATTATCTGGTTTTATTTTTTTAATTGTCATCCAGGTTGGCTTGACTAGAATTTACAGTCCAAGAATTACTTTAGATTCAAAAGGACTCTCTGGTCTTTCCCCTCTTGAGACAATGGTCTCTGCAGGTTAGAACTGATGTCATTGTCAGGTGGCTTTGAGGACACTGACATTCTAGCCATTAACACTGTGGTTAACTGTGGATAAATGTAAGCCTTCAACCTAATACCACCCTTTGCATCAGTATATTAAGGGTTCTCCGCAGTGTTTTAGCTGGAGTTTCTATTTTTAGAGGGGAGTTGAAACATGATTATACAGTATATCTGCATACAGAGCCTTGGCCTACAAGGTCTCTGCCCAGAAGAAATGTTTTTTTAAGAAGTTGCAGAAAGGTCCATTGGATAGCTTTAATGTTTTTTAACGCGCGAA